GAGAGAGAGAGAGAGAGAGAGAGAGAGAGAGAGAGAGAGAGAGAGAGAGAGAGAGAGTGATAGGAGTAGGGTATCTATAGTCAACCAGCTTTCGCATGTGCACACATTAAGTACAGAGACAAGCAAGTGCACACCTACATATACACTACACTCACACACATAGACGTCAAAAGACAAAACCATCAGAAGAGGAATGTTTAATCTGATTCATGCAACCCACAGTGTCTACATGTTCTGGACATGACTCCTCCATTAATGTGGTGATGTATTATTTATGATTTACTAAAGCTTGCCTGAGGATTCAGAAAGCAAAGTCAGCCACAAGCCATAGACACCAGGCATACACCTTTACTTTAATGCCAGCAGCCAGAAGCTAGGAGGTGGTAATATACACCTTTAATCCTAGGACTCAGAATTAAGAGGTACGTGGATATGTCTGAGTTCAAGGTCACCCAGGGATACTCGAGATTGAATCAGTCTAAAAGAGTAACAGATCATATGCCTTTAATTCCAGCACCAGCGGGGTAATAATAGAAGAGGGTTTCCGTATTCTGTAGGAAGATTCATTTTCCAGCTACACTGAAGATAGGAGCATTCAGTTTCCAGCCATGTTACAGAGAGTTCCTGGGTCGGCCCTTTTAGCCTGAGGTAGAGGTAAGAATTAGTGGCCAGCTGCTTTGCTTTTTTGATATTCAGCTTGAAGTTTGAACCCCAATATCAGTCTCTGGGTCTTTTATTTTTTTTGAGTTACACATTAATATGAACAATTCCTATGGTTTTGTATATCAATTAAAATTAACTATTAAAAAATATCCTAAAAGAAAGTTACTACAAATATCTCCTTGAGAAAGGGAAAAGCTGGGAGCAAGAACTAGGAGAGCATGGGGGGGGGGGGGCTACAGAGCAAACCCCCTGGCCCCAGTGGCCCTGGCGGGAGAGAGGGCAGGGCCATAGAAGAAGAATTTAGGCTTAAATCACTGAAAAAAAAAAATAGAGAAAACTACCTGGTGGCTCACACCTGGAATAGGGGCAGAGGCAGAAGGTTGGCACTGAGTTTGAGGCCAGTAGGGTCTATATAGGGAGACCTTGATTCCAAAACCACAAAGTAACAACAACAACAAACCCTGTAGCACCCGACATATGTATCCTACTTACTACAAATTATGGAAGTCCATACTGCCAGGGGTTTAACAGATGCCGGCAGAAGAGGTATTCTTGGCAGGTAGAATCGCAGTTTTCCTAGCATGGCGCAGGGAGTCAGACCATCCAAGAGGGCTGGAGTAGGAAAGTGGAAGCCCAGGTTTAGGGATCCGGCCTTCTTCTCTGAGGATGATGGGATCTCTTCCTGTGTCATGTGTTGTACAGACACCCTTATATGCTAAGCCCAGTTGGCTCACTCGGGATAAGTGTGGGAGACCCTGTGTAGAAGCAAGAGTCACACTACCCTGTATCCTTTCTGAAATTCCTGGTAAGTATAACTTCCATGAAAATCAAATAAACAGTCCTCACAGTCACACTCCTCCCAATTTGTCGACAATTCTTTGCAAAATAGACCCAGAACCTAGGGCAATCCAGAAAGAGCTGGAGTGGTCCAGAAACTCCAGCTAGTCCCAAGGCAAGCAGAGGAACGGTTCCCTATCAAGTTACTTCTGGAAACCCGAGAACTGCTCAGCTGCAGGCCATGAGCCCATAAGTACCCCAAGTGTAGGCCACACCCTTTGATAGTTAGTGTGAATTGGTTTCTCATGGTGTAATAGGTGATTGAACCCGGCTGGATATGAAACACAATCCTGGCACTTATCCCAGCACTTCAGAGACAGAGATTTGAGAATCTCTGATTCTCGTATCTTGATCTAAACATCTTGATCTCAACATCTTGATCTAAAACGTACCCAACTTTCTGATATTGTCATCTATAAAGTTCACACTCAAGAACAGCAACGAAGTTACACACACAATTTTTATATTTATTTGTTTATTGGTTTCTCTGTGTGGCCCTGGTTGTCCTGGAGCTCTTCTATAGACCATGCTGACCTCGAACTCAGGGATCTGCTTGCTTCTGCCTCTCAAGTGCTGGAATGAAAGTGTGGATTATCACCACCAGCTGCTGCTGCTACTGCTGCTGCTTCTCCTTGTCCTCCTCCTCTTTTTTTTTTTTTTTTTTCTTTTTGATTTCTGACTTTTGAGACAAGGTCCAGCTTTGCAGGGCTCACTGGCCTGGAGTTTGGGCAGGTGTATCCAACTTGCAGCTCCCAAAGCAGTCCTAAATTTACTGAAACATGAAGATTTAAAAACAAAACAGCTGGGTGGTGGTGGCACACACCTTTAATCCCAGCATTTAGGAGGCAGAGGCAGGTGGATCTCTCTGAGTTTGAGGCCAGCCTGGTCTATAGAGTGAGTTCTGGGACAGCCAAGGCTACACAGAGAAACCCGGTCTCTAAAAACCAAAAAAAGAAAAAAGAAAAGAAAGAAAAAGAGAGACAAGAAGGAGGAGAAAGAGGAAGAGGAGGAGGAAGAGGAGGAGGAGGAGGAGGAGGAGGAG